CACGAGTATACTTTCTTTTTTAAGGCAAAGTCAACTAATTGCGTTTACAGTGTATCTGGATCATAATGGCATTTTAGACAGTACTTTTAATTTTCTACATTAAATTAAAGCAAAAACTCACCGATCACCACAATGATCAGAAGTCCGTTCATCAGGGCAGTTATGAGGATAATAATAATAATCTGCCATTTTGTCTGATTCTGCTGAGAACAATTAGAATTCTGCTCCCACATTGTCTGATTGTGACAAGAACTTGATTGAGTTGGTTCTGAAAAAGAAAGTGTGTAATGTGTAAGGTATAATGGCTAATGATAATATATGTCACCAGCAGTTATTTAGCAAGTGTTGATCACTGAATGATCAACTTCACTCACCGGTGGTGTATAATCTGGTGCTGTTACTGAATTTTGGCTGTGCGCCTGTGGTACAGTAATAAACTCCTAATTCATCAGCAGTGACATTAATAATAACCAGACGATGTTTAAACTTCACTGAATATTTACTTCTGAATGATTTATTTGAGTAAAAAGGTGGTATTTGTGGTGAGAGTGATCGTAGAATCACTGTTGGAGGATCTGGAGTTTTCAATAAAATCCAGTTAACTTCATTTTCATCAAGATTACAGTTTATGCTCACACTTGATCCCAGATCAGTTAACAGACAAGACACTGTAGCTTTACAACAGATGAATGCATCTACAAGATAAAAATTAAGATTTTCCTTTTAAAACCGTGAAACAAAACTATTTGCGACTGTTTTAAGATTATAAATTTGCACATAAATGTATTCAAAACATGTCAAACTCACAGAGCTGAAGCTGAAGGATCCTCATGATGAATAAAGCACTTTAATATGAGTTTGAATAAATTAATATAAGTTTAGGTTTTCTGCAACTATATAGCAAACACAGGGGAAAAAAAGAAAAAAAGTCTTCCCATATCAGTCAGAGGAAGTCTAAAAACGGTTAGACTATGGTGCATTAAAGGGACAGTTCACTCAAAAATAAATATATATCCTCACTATTTACTTACTTAGGTGATTCTAAACTTAAAATTTTTCTGTTCTGTTGATGACTCAATGGATGTTTTCCCCCAGCATTCTTCAGTATATATTCCTTTGTGCTCATCAGTAGAATGAAACTCAAACAGGTTTGTAATAAGTGAAGGGTAAGTACATGGTGACATGATTAAAATTTAAGTGAACTATCCCTTTGAGAGAGAAATTACAATTAGCAGCCCCCTAGAGGGCAGAACACTTGCACTAACTCACTACAGAAAGTTTTAGAGGAGGGACGATTGGATATCGTAGCAGCAATAAAGATAGATGGCTTAAAAACAACAAGATACTATGATGATATATTACAAGTTGTCTTACCAATAGTAGGTCTATATAGTTAATGTGACATAAATTAGATATGGTAGCTAATGTTATATAACATAATTTAATTTGTCTTTAATACTTGATGCCACGATGAAAAAAACTTGAGTCTCATAATCAGATCTTTAGACAGACAGCAGAACACTTGCTTGTTCACACTACTCATTTAAAATAAGCTGAAACAGCACAATTTTTGAGATTTTGTTGGGATAACTTAACTGTTTTAAGCTCAATTCACTTAAATTTGAAAAATTAATAAGTAAGCTTAATTTTTTCATGTTGTCCCAAAACATATAGATTGTGTGAATCTGGTATTATTCTTTATAGTGAAAGTTCAGACTCCATAATGATTTTCATTTGCCAAAGACGTTTTTTTTTCTTGTGATATATGTGAAGCTGATGTCCCAATTGTAAAAGACTACCTTTTTAAAAAAAAATTTCAAGAATCGCATAAAGTTCACTTTTTTATGTTTAGTTGACTCTTAAATTCAGCACTCATTTAGCACTCATTTTCAGAGCTGCACACAAGACTGCTTCCATATAAGAGGGTTTGGTATCATGACAGTTTTGTTTCTTTCTGACTATAAAAGGATGTTACACACATTTCACATAAATCCTGCAAAATGTATCCATAACATGACAACTCACTTAACCCATGTTCATTCATTTTTTTTCAGCTTAGTCCCTTTATTTATCACACCACAGTATTATATGTCACCACAGAGGAATACACCACCAACTATTCCAGCATATGTTTTACACAGCGGATGCCCTTCCAGCCACAATCCAGTACTGGGAAACACCCACATTCATACACATACTCTCACATTCACACACACACTCATACACTATGGCCAATTTACAACCCAGGCTCATTCTGAAAACCATTCGCGCCTGCTGGTCTCTCAAAAATCTACCAGAGGCTGCTTTCGACTGACTGTTTGACTGACTGACTGAATGGCTGACAGACTGACCAATCGACTGACCCACCCTCCCCCTTCCTTAAAACCCAACCGACAAATTTAAAAGCAATTCCGAAAAAAAGACCTAGTCTAATTTTTGCCTCTTTTTACCACATTCTTACAGTGTTATTTACTTGTTTACTTTATATTTTAGCTTTTGTCTTACCCACTTTCTGAAATTGTTCTTCACCAGACTCAAACCCCATTGTCATGGTCATCTCCTCTCTGCATTTTAAGACCACCGACATACATGTCGTACATACATAAATGCAGCAATACATACTTCTGGCTACATAATTCGCGATCTCCAGAAATGTATATAGGGCTACGTTTAAAGTATGTTGCCTATTTAGCTTATTCAATTTACCTATAGTGCATGTCTTTGGAACTTTGGAACCAGCTGACCCAGCCGGGACTTAAACCAGCAACCTTCTTGCTGTAAGAGAACTACGTCACAATGCTGCCAACTTGTATACTTTCTTCTTTAAAATGATGATGAGACTGAATTTTTTTTGTTCATAATGTTAAAGGGGTGGTCCACTACGATATCATTACAAATTCTTAGGCCTCGGACAATGAGCCGTAAATTTATTATTCCAGGAAGTTAGCTTCTAATTGGTCAACTTTCCATGGAGGGTGGATCTGAACCCGCCCTATAAAGCTTAGGACCAATCTCTTCGCACCCCTCTCTGTTCAAAACTTCACTTGGCTCTGGAACACGCTGCCAGGGAGCTCTCTTCGCACCCTCTCTGTTCAACCTCTCTCTCTTTGAACTCGCTCTCTTCAAACTACTCTCTGCTCTGAAACACGCCGCCTGGGTGCTCCTCCCTCTCTCTCCCGTCTCCAGAGCAACCCCCCTTTCTGCTCTAAAGCTCTCTGTTTTGAAACTTTCTTCAAACTTTCTACAACTTCATCAGAAACCTAGGCAGAGAAACCTCCAAGAAAGCAGGCGGAAACCCAGACGGAAAGGGTTAATCGCAAAGCTCAGACATTTCAAAGTTCAGAATCTTTTTGCTGCCTCAGCTTCAAACACGGACTCACAGAATCAAACAGCCGAACCATGCGCTCAACAACGAGAGCTCGGAAATCACGAACAGACCGCAAGTATCACCTTTCTCCCAACATCTAAACTGGTGTGAACTAAATTCAACCCTAAAGAGACAATAGAAGGGTTAGATTGAATTTGATTACATTTGGTTTGCTTGGTTTGTGCTTACAAACTCTGAGGTCTTCCCATCATTACATCCTCTCAACCTCTTACTTTACGTTAGTTACTCTTCCCTATGAATGTGTGTTTGTGTTAGGTGCTAGTTTTTGTTAGATTAGCCAATAAAGTTTAATTTTGTATAAAGAAAGGTGCCTGTGTATATCAATGAATCTAATGTCTTAAACTTGGATCTTGCTACCCTGTTCAAAGTTTATGGGTTTTTATTTTGATAGCATAGCTGGACGATTCGTTTGTTTGGATCTAAAGAATCGATTTATTTGAAGCCCTGTTCAAATAAATCTTCCTCCCGCTAAGCTAGTCCACTATATAATGGTCCAGAAGGTACGCGAGCACTGAAATCTACATCATAACTCGCAACATTATAGGAAAGGAGCGGGAAGAATAACCTTGATCTAATTTTTACAATAATGACGATTAAATTGCTCGCATATCTACATCAAGTGTGCCGCAAGCCTGCCTTTGAGTGAAGGTCTCGGCCGTTAGATCGCCCCCTGGGGGCTGGCTGCAGTACAAGTAACAAAGCCCGCCTCCTCTGTGTTAATGAAGAAGACTCGAGTTCAAAACAAAAAAAAAAAAATTCACTTGAAATTAAACTGTCCTGAAAGATGGTCTTGGTCATTTAAGGCAGTTGTTATCATGCTGCTATAGGTGCAAATCTTCATTTTTGCAGTCAGTATGTTTTTAACCAGTAATTTGATGCAAAAAAAACGGGGCGTGTTGTCATGATTGACATTTGTGATTGACAGCTTCTCTGAGCAGATCGTCGGCGCTTCAGGGGGAGATTGAAGCAGGATTGAAGATATAGGGAACTAACAATCATCGATTACTGTGTTATTTCACTGCGAAAATATGAGTTGTTCAGCAGTAAACTGTTCTAACCGGCCTTCAGGATCTGATGGATCACTGAGTTTTTTTCGGTAAGGTTAAATGTGAGCTACACTCTTAAAAGAAACGGTTCTATATAGAACCAAAAATGGTTCTATCAAGCGCTTCATATATGGAACCCCAAAAAGGTTCTAAATAGAACCATTTTAAGGGTTCATTAAATAGAACCCCAAATGGTTCTTTCACTCTTAAAATAAACGGTTCTATATAGAACCAAAAATGGTTCTTTCAAACGCTTCATATATGGAACCCCAAAAGATTAAAAATAGAACCATTTAAGGGTTCATTAAATAGATCCCCAAATGGTTCTTTCAAGCGCTTCATATATGGAACCCCAAAAAGGTTATAAATAGAACCATTTAAGGGTTCATTAAATAGATCCCTAAATGGTTCTTTGAATTCAAGTTACATGGTTCTATTTAGAACCATTTGAGGGTTCTTTATTTATTATTGAATAAAAAATAAAACCAATGCAGAAAATTCAAGTTGTTTAAATTTATTCAATTTACTTCACAAAATAAGTTTTAAATAATATTTAAAATTGCACCTCTGCGTACGTTGTATAAGATCTACCTCTAAACATTATACATTTTTACTATTTAATTAGTAAACATAATTAACAGCTTAATGGCATTCAACAATCTAATTCTAATGATTTCACTTTTTATTAAACATTTGTAAGCTTGTTTACTGATTGAACAAATACAAAACTTAACTTTCAAACATCTCTAAAATGATGAAAAATGTATTACAATGCAGACAGAAACAATACACAAACATCTATTAAATAACACTACAATTTCAACAAGTTGACGGTACATGTATGTATTAGTCATGGCAACATCCATTTTTATACATAATTTTCAATAAAAGTTATTGAAGAAAGTGCGTAATGGCACACAAAACTTTGCAAAATGATTAGACAAAACACTGAGAACAGCCACTCCACAACCTGTAGCATGTCCATGTTCGCCGGCCTCTCTTATAACGTAAATAGTTTTGTCCATGGGTGGCACAGTGGCTCACTGGTTAGAACTGTCACATCACAGCAAGAAGGTCACTGGTTCGAGTCCTGACTGGGTCAGTTGGTGTTTCTGTGTGAAGTTTGCAAGTTCTCCCAGTGTTTGTGTGGGTTTCCTCTGGGTGCTCCAGTTGCCCCCACAGTCCAAAGGCATGCGTTTGGTATTGGTGAATTGGCCATAGTAAGTGAATGTGTGCAGGCGTATGGTGTATGGGTGTTTCCCAGTGCTGGGTTGCGGCTGGAAAGTGAAGAGTAATTGCTAATTCATTCTACTGCGGTGCCTCTGATAAATGAGGGAGCAGAAGGATAGTGAGCGAGTGTTGGCCATCGTAATGCTGACACTTCAAGCCTTGACGGAATCAGGAGAGCTGTTAGGATCTTTGGATTTCTGTAAGACAATATTTCAATGCTGAGTACTTTCTTCTTTCCTTCCCTTCTATTAAACCATTTCTTTTAAAGATGTTTCTGTGTCCTTCACTAAGTCCTTATATGCAGCATCCTAAATTAAAACATTTTGTTTACTTTGTGTAAGTTTCCAAGTGACACATTTTCAGCAATACAAGTACTTTAAAGTCATCAAAAATACAGAAATACTGTGTAGACAGCTGTAATATATTTTCTATTTAATCTGCATCTCATTTGTTACAGAATTTAATGAAATTGACATTTCTGAGTGACCTCAATTTAGTATTTTGTAAATACTACAAAAAATTTATTTTTGTATTTAGTAAAAATGTATAATAATTTATACATTAAATAAAACAATAAAATTAAAATAAGAACAAAACAAAATAATTGTTTATCAAATAACATACATAATATTTGGCAGATACTTTTATCCAAAGGGACGTAGATTGTGTTTAATCTATACATTTATTAATATGTGTGATCTGGAACACATCTGGCATTGCTAATGCCTTGCTTTACCAAATGAGCTTTAAAATGTCATATACACAGATTTTTCATATCTATTTGGCACACAATGTAACAGTGTTTGGTTACTCACAAGCTGTGGCACTCCAAGAAGAAGAAACTGCTCCATTAGTTTTGCAGACCCCTCCATAATCTGCGCTCTGGAAAATAGTGTTTCATTTGGTTCTTGACTTATTCGTAAACGATGTCGCATTCTAGGTCCATCACAATCTGAGGTAGGAAGACAGCATTTGTAGAGTGTGTAAATACAAATTTAAATCACAGAATTAATCTTGACATGAAATGTATTGAAATGAACTTACCTTGTGTTAAGTCCCTCAGAGTCCAGTTCACTTCCTTTTGATCCCATCATATGAGCTCACCACTGAAATACTTTCATTTTTACATTTGTTTTGAAGACATTGCAACAAGGAATCCTGTAGGCAAAATTACACCTTTCAATACATATTTCTTCTCTGCAGGACTTTTTTTAAGCAACGACCTTAATATTCTCACTGTATTAAAACAGCAGTAGTAAGTAATAGAATATTTTTTTGATAAATATATTTTTTCAGTACACAACAACCAACAAGTCTGAATTATGCATGTTATAAAATACAATACTTTACCAGGTGTGCTTGAAGATGATGTCAAACAATTATGGATGTGACGTGTTTTTCTTTAAGCTGGGATCCTTCTTCTTCAAAGCTACTTGTGTGCAGCAGATCAAATTTGGAAACTTAATATGGGTCCCATGACACTTTTCTGTAATGATAAATACAATCTTGAAGTCTTTTATAATATTTATTTCATTTTACTGACCACAATACAGTTTGTTTGGATTTTAAAACAATGATACATACCAAGCACAAGTTTTATGAAGCAGTTCAGTTTCCAGGCTGTTTGAAGAAAGATAAAATATACATTAAAATATTTATTTTAAACTTATTTTGCACTATATATATATATATATATATATAGTGTGATGGGCTGAAGAATCACACGACAAAAGAATTAAAGTTTAGATCCCAGAGGGTGGATTTATTTACAAAGGTGCATGAGTGCAAGATCCAAAGGGGTGCTCCAGCGGGTGATGTTCTTTCATCCGTGGGGTGCTCAGTGTCTGTGAGATGGGTCTAGGAACCCGATCGGTCACCAACTGCTGTCTAGAGGAAAGAAAGGGAGAATAAGTGTTACTGCTCTGTTTCCTTCGTATGCTTCCCCCTTTCTGGTTCTTTTGGTGAGGCTTATGTAGCCGGTCTTGGATGAGTTGCAGCTGGTGCTGATTAGTTGGGAATGAGAGGGCCCAGGTGTTCCTCGTTCCTCTCCAGGACGATGCTGATAGCTTCATGGGATGCTTGTCACACTCCCCCCCCCTAAGTGGCGTCCTGGTCCTGTGGATGATATGAGACAATAGGGGAGAATTAAGGGGTGGGTGGGGAGTGACCCCTGACAGACCTGCAAAAGCCGCCCAGATCCGAGAGAGTCCATCAGCGTTGGCGTTGGCAGTCCCGGCCCGGTGACGCACATTGAAGTGGAAGTCCTGGAGCGCGAGGAACCATCTTGTCACCCTGGCATTTGTGTCCTTTGCCCTGGCCATCCACTGCAGAGGTGCATGATCGGTAACCAGGGTGAACTGGCGGCCAAGGAGGTAGTACCGCAGCTCCAGGACTGCCCACTTGATGGCAAGGGCTTCTTTTTCTACGGCGGCGTATTTTCTCTCGGCTGGGGTCAGCTTTCTGCTGATGTATAGGATCGGATGCTCTTCCCCTTCCTGAACCTGTGACAGAACAGCTCCTAGTCCTGTGTCAGAGGCATCCGTCTGCAGCAGGAAGGGACAGCCAAAATCAGGAGCTCGAAGTACTGGTTCTGAGGTCAGTGCTGTCTTTATGCTCCTGAAGGCTTCCTCGGCTGCCGGCGTCCAGTTTACCTTCTCTGGTTTCCCCTTCCTGGTCAGATCTGTCAGAGGGGCGGCTAAAGAGGAGAAATTAGGGATAAAACAGCGATAGTACCCTGCCAACCCTAAGAATGCTCGTACCTGGGTTTTGGACACCGGCCTGGGAGCAATGCGGACAGCTTCAACCTTTTTTTCTTGGGGTTGGATGAGTCCTCTTCCCACTTGGAAACCCAGGTACTTCGCTTCAGAGAGAGCAAGATGGCACTTATGAGGGTTGGCCGTGAGTCCAGCCCTCCGGAGTTCAGACAGCACCCTCCGTAGACGGTCCAGATGATCCTCCCATGTCTCCGAGTGGATCACAATGTCGTCTAAGTATGCTGCGGCATATGCGTGGTGGGGCCGGAGTATGATATCCATCATACGTTGAAATGTGGCAGGGGCCCCGTGCAGGCCAAAGGGAAGGGTCCGGTACTGCCAATGACCACTGGGGGTGGAAAAGGCAGTTTTAGGTTTGGCATTCTCAGACAGTGGGACTTGCCAGTAGCCTTTGGTTAGGTCTATGGTAGAGATGTACCGGGCCCTTCCCAGGCGGTCCAACAGCTCATCCACACGAGGCATGGGGTAGCTGTCAAATTCTGAGACTTCATTAAGCCGACGAAAGTCATTGCAGAACCGGAGGGTGCCATCAGGTTTGGGGACCATCACGATTGGGCTGGACCATGGACTTGATGAGGGTTCTATCACCCCTAATTTTAGCATTTGTTTTATCTCCTCTTCTATAGCCTGCCGACGAGCCTCAGGGACCCGATAGGGCCGCTGCCGTATGATGACTCCTGGCGGTGTTCGTATATCATGTTGGAGAAGGCTGGTTTGCCCGGGGAGATAAGAGAACACATCTGGGAACTGACCGATCAGGTGCCGCAGATCCCCCTTTTGAGCAGCCGAGAGATGGGGGTTGATGTCAACAACCACGGGTTCAGAAGTGGCGAGGGCAGCGAGTTGGACCCTAGTTCCAATCCATTTCTTTAGAAGGTTAATGTGGTACAACTGATCTGCCTTTCGTTTTCCTGGTTGTTGCACCCGGTAGGTCACTGGTCCGATTTTTTCCAATACCGTGTAGGGGCCCTGCCATGTGGCCAGGAACTTACAAGCTGCATTTGGAATTAGGACCATGACCCGATCTCCTGGTTGGAATTCCCGTGCTTGTGCTGCTCTGTTGTAGTGGCGTTGTTGGGCCTTTTGTGCTGTAATCAGATGCTCCCGGACTAACGGCATGACACGGTCGATTTTTTCCCTCATCTGCTTGACGTGTTCCACCACAGACCGATGGGCCGCCGGCTGCTGCTCCCAGGCCTCCTTTGCCACATCCAGGAGGCCACGGGGTTGTCGTCCGAAGAGGAGCTCAAAGGGGGTGAAGCCAGTTGAGGCCTGGGGAACTTCTCGGATCCCGAAGAGAATGTAGGGCAGCATAAGGTCCCAGTCACGCTTGTCCTCCGCGGCGACCCGTCTTAGCATTTGCTTTAGTGTTTGGTTAAAGCGTTCAACCAAGCCATCTGTCTGGGGGTGATAGACAGTGGTCCTCAACTGCTTCACCTTCAGCAGCCTGCAGAGGTCAGCCATTAGCCGGGACATAAAGGGGGTACCCTGATCGGTCAGGATCTCTGCGGGGATGCCAACTCGGCTAGAGAGCAAGAAGAGCTCCTGGGCGATGGCTTTGGCGGTGGCTTTCCGAAGGGGCACCGCCTCTGGGTAACGGGTAGCATAGTCAACAATCACCAGGATGTGCTCATGTCCCCGGGCAGATTTAGGCAATGGCCCAACCAGGTCCATCCCAATGCGCTCGAAGGGCACCTCAATAATTGGTAATGGAATTAGAGGACTCGGGGGAGGTGTCCTTGGTGAGGTTCGTTGGCAGGTGGGGCAGGCCTGGCAGAACCGCTTTACATCTGCCTCCAGTCCTGGCCAGTGGAAACGGTCCCGTATCCGCTGGACTGTATTGGCCACCCCAAGGTGTCCTGCCATGGGATGGGAGTGGGCCAGTTCCAGTATTGCTTCAGTCTTGGATCGGGGTACGACCAGCAGTAGTTTTTCCTCCCCCCTCCGCTGTGCGACCCAGTAAAGCAGGCCATTCTGGACAGCAAAGTATGGGAGAGGGTGGGGACCAGGCTGACTATCTTTTCCCTCTATGACTCGGACTTGGGTCCAGCAATGTTTCAACCTATCGTCTCCCTGTTGTTCCTTAGCAAATGAGCCCCCTCCTGTGACCTGTTGAAAGACATTATAAAACAGGTTAGTATTATGAGAGGGGGACTCACCATCTCTCCCGCTGTCTGATGCCAGAAGGACGGGTCGCTGACGAGGTCTTCGGTTGGGCTTTTTACGGTGACGACTCCCTCTGGGGCTGGCAGGTTGGGAAGCTGCGGCTAACAGGCGCTCTAAACCTGGCCAGTCTCTCCCAAGGAGCACAGGAACTGGTAGATCTCTCACCACTCCCACCTCGACTGGCCAGGTATCAGGGCCGGCTGAAATGGTTACATGACGGGCAGGGACCTGACGGGTGTCCCCGTGGACACAGGTGATAGGCAGGAAGGTCTTTGACCCAGTCCGTGGGGCCAAAATCCGTGCGTGTACCAGACTAACCGCACTACCAGAGTCGAGTAGGGCCCGGTATGGTTTTCCGTTGACCTTGACATCCGCTTCTGGGGCTCCTTCGGGTAGGTCTCTGTGTACAATGCAGCCTGCCAGCCAGGTCCGTGAGGGGGGTGTTGAAACCTCTGTTGGCATGGGCTCCTCCCGTGGAGAGGGAACCGTCGGCCTGCTCACCGGTCGTTGAGGGCCCTCTGGCGCACGTCGCTCCTGGACCACCCTCCGGGGAAAAGGCGGCGCTCTCTCCCCTCCTTCCCGATGTAGGGTCGCATCCGCCAGTTCAATCGCCTCAATGAGCTCCAGGGTGGTTGAGGGGTTTCTCATTCCGACTACTCGTCGATGGGATCGGGGAAGAGCCCGGAGCAATTTGTCGATGACCACCCGTTCCGCTACCTGACTCGGCGTTGGGTCTTCCGCCAAGAGCCAATGTCTCGCAAGTCGTGTGAGACCCGCTGCTTGGGCACGGACCGGCAGATGGGGCTTATATGTCCACTCAAAAAACTGTTGAGCTGCACATGTGGATGACAGTCCCATATGGGCCAGGATTTCCCGTTTCAGGTCCTGGTAAGTGGTAGCTGCACCATCGGGGAGAGAAAAGTAGGTGTGCTGGGCGTCACCAGTCAGCAGGGGAGCCAGGACCTGCGGCCAGTCGTCGACATTCCACCCTTCATTCGTAGCAGTGGTTTCAAACATTTGTAAATAAGATTCAATATCATCGTGAGGGGTTAGCTTTGGAAGGAGTTGAGTGGCTCGGGCACGAGGGTCTGGTAGCGGAACACGTTGTGCAGCAGCCAGACGCAGGGCAAAAAGTTCTTGCTCCGTCTGGTCCTGACGAGCTGCCAGATGCTCGGCCACTTGCTGCTGGCGGATGCTGACCTCGGTGAGTCGCTGGAGAAGTTCATCCATCCTGTAGGGGGGAGTGAGCGCTCGCCTGCACACAAAAGGAAGAGAAAAAAAAATAATAAATAAATGATTTTTTTTTTTTTTTTTTTTTTTTTTTTTTTTTTTTAAATAGATGAGTGGGAGTCTGGGTGTCGGTGATTCTTCACTCTTCTGCCCGCATTCTCCACCAGTGTGATGGGCTGAAGAATCACACGACAAAAGAATTAAAGTTTAGATCCCAGAGGGTGGATTTATTTACAAAGGTGCATGAGTGCAAGATCCAAAGGGGTGCTCCAGCGGGTGATGTTCTTTCATCCGTGGGGTGCTCAGTGTCTGTGAGATGGGTCTAGGAACCCGATCGGTCACCAACTGCTGTCTAGAGGAAAGAAAGGGAGAATAAGTGTTACTGCTCTGTTTCCTTCGTATGCTTC